GGTTTAGGGTTTAGGGTGTCTAGGGCCTTTCCGCTCTCGGGAGGAGGATTGGGCTCCTTCCGGCAAAAGCCGGCAATCATACAAATCCGAAGGGACCACAACCCCTGAAGGCCGAAACCCACATTGTAAAGCTACCAGTTAGTAGTAATAACAACAGTACTAATAGTTATTGAAATACTAAGAGTAGTAGTAATTGTACGTACCAGGAATAGTCATTGCTTAGCATCTAAACCCTGCATCCTTGCCTTCGCAAGCCTTGGTCTTGTAGCGCGTCTGGTGCACCACCGAAGGCAGAAGCGTCACCTGCGGCTTGGTGTACTTGCGGTACCGGTCGTAGGAGAAGGGCGCGCAGTACCTGCATGGGTAGGTTCGCGCGTGCAAATGCACGCACAGGCAGCAAAATGGGCACAAGTAGAGGCTTAAAGTAGAAACAAGGACAGAAATGTTTCTGGTGTATGTAAGCACTGGCAAGCAAGTACGGGTACATATATCATAGAAATAAATCTAAAGAAATGCACGTGCTGAGACAGCTGTGGTGATGGCGAAGAGCAAAAGCTTGAAGAAGGGTAGCGGCGTTGATGACAGCAGTTATGACAGTCGTCAGCGCAGATCCGTAGTAGTGGTGGTGGTGAGGCAGTAGTTGTAGAAAGAAAGGTAGTAGTAAGTAATAGTAGTAGCAGCAGCAACAGCTGTAGCAGTTGTTGTTGCTGCTGTTTGTAAGGATAGAAATTAGTATTTAATAGGACGTATCTACCAGCTGGTAATTAGTAAATAGTAGTTAGCAGTTGGTATTTAGCAGTTAGTTAATTGAAAGCTTTAGTTAGTAGTTCGTAGAAAGTTCGTAGAACCTGTTCGAAGTCAGCAACTAGTGCATGGTAGTTAGTAGCTTGTGCGTCGAGTGCAGTGGCTACTAGTTGGTACTGCATAGTTTCTAGTGCATAGCATGTCAAAAAAGGTACATGATATTCAGCATGTAATACGTAATACGTAGCACGTAGCATGTGGCACGGAGTACGTAGTACTTGGTACAAAGGCCGTGCCGTGGTTGTCGTGGTGTCACCGTTTACGAGTGTTGCTAAAGCCGTCAATGTCACGGTTGCTTTTGCCATCGTCGTCACTGATATCATCGTATCCGGCTTAAGGAGCATGACAAAAGAATATGGAACAGACATTCATGGTGATGGAAAAACGAGAGATATGAAAGTGCCTGTGGGTATACGGTTCCGCGATTTATCGCCGAGCTTGCAAGATGGCTCTAAAATGTTCGGGCTACGTGACCAAACAAAGGCCAAGGCACCCGCACGTCCTCGGGCAGTACAGCAGTCCAAGGTCTGTGGCACAAGCATGGCTGGCATGATCGTGACAAGTGATGTTCGGATCATCTTCTTCGATCCTGGGCACGGTTTGCCCAAGAACTCTGCTGCCTAAACCCTAAAAACATCCTAAAACCACCACGAACCCGAGAGCCAAAAAAAAAAATGTAAAAACCTGAGCCCTGAGCCAAATCCCCCAGACCATTCACTCAGCTTGCCCTTGCAGGATCTAATCAGGGTGCCTAGGAGCCCGCTTTCCCCATGGATTCAGCAGACTGTGAAGCTGAACTCTACACCCGACAAAGAAGTTTTTTCGGGATTGGGGTTTAGGGTTTAGGGTTCAGTGTTGAGGGACTGAACCCTTACTCAAAGGGTCATGGGACTGAGTAACTAGGGCTCTAAATAAGGTCTCTTGTCTTATGACTAATTATAACCCCAGTTAAGGTGGTTATAACCTTACTTCCTAAGTTTCATGATCCTTCAAGTAAACCCTACGCCGTGAAAACACCTTGAACACAAACAAGCCTGATAGGGGTGGCACGCCTGTACCGACCCTAGGGTCCAGCGAACCAAGTCCGCTGAACTCTAAGGTCTTCAGTAAGAAGCAAGCCTTAATATGGTTTAGGGCTTTGGGCTTAGGGTTTAGGGTTTAGGGTTTAGGGGTTTAGGGTTTAGGATGCAGGGGTTAGGGTTTGGCAACCCGGTTTAGGGTAAGGTGGCCCCAGACCCTCCAAAGCTCCAAAATGTTCCAGAAAATGCCCCGAACCTCAAAAGCCTTCGAACCCAAAAGCCTCAACCCTAATCTCTGGCATCAAGGATCTGGTAGGCGGTGTCATTGTCCTCCCCCAAAGGCAGATTCGAATTTTAGGGGTTCAGGCCTGAGAGTTTAGGGCCCAGTGCCCAACCCTCAGCCGGGTTGCCAAACCCTAAACCCCTACATCCTAAACCTTTTTTAAACCCTAAACCCTCGACCCTAAACCCTACATCCTAAACCCTAAACCCTAACCCGTACATAACCCCTGAACCCCCTAAACTCCGTCCTCACAAGGCGGATTTGCGTGAGTGGCCTGGGGGCCCCCAGTAGAAGTGCCTCCTCCCGCAAGTCGCCGCTCCTTGGGTTCAGGGCTTAGGGTTTTAGGATTTTAGGGCTTCGGGTTTAGGGTTTAGGGTTTAAGGGTTTAGGGCTTTTACGGTTGAGGGCTTGGGGTTTGGGGACAGAGCCTTAGAGGGTTCCTTGAAGGCTTCTAGGCGGGCTTGAAGGCTTCTAGGCGGGCTCTATGAAGGTCCTGCAATGAAGGCTCTAAGGCCCTTGTGCGACTTTGTGGGTTTAGGGTTTTGGGTTTCGGGATCGAGGCTTAAGCTTTGGTTTGGCGTCTAAGTTGAGCCCCCAAGCAAGTTTGGCATTGGTCTCGGGTTTAGTGTTCTGCATTCTGGACTTTCGTGTTGAAAAAAAGCTGTAGGCTTAACCCCTGAACCCTAAACCCTAAACCCTAAACCCTTAAACTCTAAACTAAACCCTAAAACCGAAAAAAAAAAAAAAACAGCAAAAGGTAGTTCCAAGTGCTACTGCGGTTTCGGCGGAAAGGCGCCTGTGGTGGCCGCCTGTCGAAGGGGTCGTCGAGTTCGTCCAGACTGGGCTGCTTTGCAGCTCCAGGGCTGTGTATCTCGGACTGGGGCAAGAGCTGACTGGAACCAGGTAGTGGTCGTCCCACTCTCTTTGAAAGTACCGGTGCTCGCACCAATAGTTGAAAGATGTTGCCTGCACTCAACAACGCAGCATGCGACGACTGGAGCAGGTGAACCAAGCTAGAAGGCTAGAAGGACTTCTTAGAACTGCCAAGGAAGCAGAGTTACACGCAGTTCTGCATTCTTGTTCTCAAAATTCTGCAAGAAGTCGTAGATGGCTGCTGTGTCTTGGACCTCAGCAACCTGGTCGAGTCCAAAGTGACTGTTGAGATGCCGGTGGATGGCTGCGGTTTGAGGCGGCGGAGAGAGGATGGCGATCGCGGCCAAGAAACAGAAGAGGCACAGCAAGAACAGCGGAAGGTTCCTCATGACATGCTGGATATGCTTGGGCTTGAAAGGGAATCCTTGAGTACAACCAAAGGCATGCATGGCTTTAAAACAAAATCCACCACTGCACCGAAGCTCTTCATCAGGTCAATAAGGCCATCTTCCAGGGAGATTCTCTCTAACAGGACCTCCACACGCACCTGAACGTGATCCATGTTCTGCTGGAGCTCCTGGGGCGAAACCTTGGCTGATTTCGCCGACGTACGGGCGAACAACGCTAGCTCAAGTGGTCTCAAAAATACTACAACGGCCCCTGAAGCGCAGTGCAAAACGAAGAACATGACCGTCATGGTCGGCGTCGAACTCAGCTGTGTTGGCCTGTTCTTGGAGATAGGACTTTCGTTGGCTGCGCCGCTGTTCTTGCGCTGCGATAACTACCACCGCAGCCATGGTCGATGCTCCCGGCTTGTGGAGAACACACGGCCCGGACGCACTTTTGACCCGAAACAACTGTACGTTACGGCGGTGCAAAAGAAAGCCTGATGCACATGCTGCTTGTTCCTTGGGAATTACGAGGTGCAGGCAAGCCCCCTCGATTTGTCCGATCGTGAAACCCTGACTGCTCAAAACATCGTCCAGGAATACCATGCTCAACTTGCATGTTTTTAAGACGGGCTTCACCTGTGCACAGAGCATGCTTGCCATCCGCAGGTTTCGGTCCATCGTGATTCAATTCTATTGTACCGCTGCTTCCAGAAAAGATGCATGTGCCGATGCATACGCTTTGCAAATGGTTTGAAAGCTGCAGCTGGCAACAGTCAAACGGGACATGCCCCGTGCCGGAGATAAAACTTGCCTGATGACAATTCGCACTGTGTTAGGAAGCCACATGCTGCATGAACATAAAGATCAACATCAACATGAATCGCGATGAAACATTACACAAACTGCAATTTTAGGCCTTGCTACTGTGGAAGGAAGGACGAGGGACCTGGAATCGAATTCAAGCCCCGGAAGCCCAACACCAACTCGGCCAACATCATCAAATATCCTCCATAGAAAAATTACAAAACTTGGGCCCAACGCTGATATGCATTCAAACGACCATCTCATCCGTTCGATCGGTTCGAACATGTAACGGAGCTTGGAATGACCATTCTTTTAACATCAACTGCATCCAGTCTTGGAACGGTGTACAAATTGCCTTGAAATCTGCACCAAAATCTTGTTACCGAATTTTTTGTTGTGTTGGAGTCCCCATCAAAGTCGTAGAGCTGGAAATGACAGCGGCAAACGCGACAAATACCTTCTTCTCCCCATAAAATGGCGAAAGCATGCCAAAGCCTAACACACTCAGCACCATTGTTTGCTTTACTTATTGCCACTTGGCTAAAACTTAAGTTTTGCATAGATCAGCATGGGCGCACCAAGGTCCGATGGATGCGTGTCCAAATTGGAGAGCGGATCCACAGAGCCAGCAGATGCAAGGACCCATCGTTGGTGAACAAGCTGGCACGTCTGTTCAGTCTCAAAGCTAGATGGACTAATTAGACTTATGCAATATTTCTTATTTTCACTGGGAAAGTTTGGCTCGATCAACATGTCTTTCAAAAGTCACCAGAGCTTTATTCAAAACTTTACTCAGCTATGTATGAGCACAATAACACAATCGAGACGTTTTTAACCTTGATCTTCAATCTTCATAATCCAAATATGTACTTCACATATATAAAAATCCACATGCAGTCAGAGCGCAATGTTTTCCTCGAAGGTGGCATGGGGCATCCGAACGATAACTCAAGAGAAACGTTAGCTTGGACATCCCAAGCAGTGAATGCGGCACATCCCGCAACCCCCGGGTGGGTGGGTGGGGGACAAAAATTTTGCCGTGACTACCTCAGCGCACGGACAACTGCAGCATCTCATGTTTCCCACGCGTGACTCAAAACTGATGCCAAGACTTGACATGAAAACTGGTTCAATGTCATGTGGAACCTTGAAACCAAATCGAGCACATGATTTTAAAATTCAAAACTTTAAAATCAAAACTTTCTGTGAAAATAATACCGTACGCAGGCAAGCTGCGATGGTGGCTTATTTTCAATGGGAAAGTTTGGCTCAATCAACATGTCTTTCAAAGTCACCAGAGCTTTATTCAAAACGTTACTCAGCTATGTATGAGCACAATAACACAATCAAGACGCTTTTAATGTTGATCTTCTTTCAATCTTCATAATCCAAATATGTGATAGTTGTGCTTAACCACTTGCGTGTGTACCTTACCTGTGTGCGCGGGTGTGGCCCCAATTTTAGTAGAAGCCTGACACCCAGAATGAGATGCAGCAAAACTCATCAAAAAGGTAGAGAAACTCAAGTGACCTCCTCTGTGCCAGAAAGATCTTACACGAACAAGAAAGAAGCACTTGTCTTGAAGCGGCAGCCAAGGGCAAGTCTGGCAAATTTTCTAAGCCAATATCTCACATTTCAGAGCGTGCTGGCTTTCTTGGACATTGGTCCAAAAAAATACACGGAA